AAATTAAACAAAAAAAATTTCATTTCATTTCATTAAAGCGATAAACATGTAAATGAAGAACTTCCACCACGACTGGATCGTGGGCAACAACAGTTTTTACGAGTCATAAAAACACCTTCAGAACACTTTCTCTCTTTTCCAGTGATGAGTTTGAGTCATTCGATTTTTTTTTCTTCTTCTTGTCAAACATTCATCTTCAGTCTGGCAGAACAAAAACTGTTCCCAACCAACAACAAACCCCTCAAGGTCCAAACACTGTAAGATTTAGACTCAATCTTATTTTTAGTTGTCTTATGATTAATAAATAAGACGTTGGTATGTATTGATTTATTCTAAGATGTTGGCATCTGTGAGCATAAAGGGCCAGATGGAGAGGGTCCAGAAGGCCCTCAAGTCAAATGTTTGTGTGTTTGTTAAGCTTTTATCTCGCTGTAAAGGAAAAATCAATGAGAACAGTGAGTCTGAGCAGCTCTAAAATCACTAAAAACAGGAGTTCTGTTTCAACTTTTGTGTTTTTAGTTTTCCTAAAGACGAGCTGCAGTCTTTTAACGAAAACTGAAAACAAAAGCAGCATACAAATTCAAAATAGTAGCTATAAGCTAAAAATTGCCAAAGTCTAGTTAAAAGCTAAAGGTAGCCAAATAACTAAAAGCAGAAAAAAGGCTAAAAGAGTTACTGAGAGTAGCAAAAACCTAGCTAAAAACCTAAATTATCAAAATTCTGATCAAAAGGCTTGCTAGATGCTAAAAGTACTAAAATGGCCAGCTAAAGATTTAAAGTAGCAAAAATCTTGCTAAAAGTACCAAAAGGCAAAAAGGATCAAATAGAATGGCAGTTGCAAAAAGTACCAAAGATTTACTAAAAGCTAAAGGTAGTAAAACAAAAAGTATAAGAAGACAAAAGCAGAGCAAAAAAGATTTCAAAGATCAAACATTTAAAAAAAAATCAAAAGATCCTAATGAGAAAGATTAGTAAATAACRCCCTCCTTGGTAACACTTTATTATAACTACACCTTATTTTGCCATAATTAATTACTAATAAAGGGTTACTTAACCTTAAAAACATCATTAATTAAGGATGAGTCAGACTTGATAAGCTATGAATTAACACATTTATTAATGTTTTACCATTGAAGGCTAATTACTTCTAAAACCAACATACTCATTGTTTACTCATGCTTAACAAATCAAGAATTAAATATTCTATATGTGTATATGCTCATATAAATGTATTTTCACATCATGTGTTATGCATGTATTAATGGTTAGAGAATGTTTGAATGAACTGTTTACTAACCCTGCGGTGCATTAATAATTAAGGCAGGTCTTAGTATTGCCCATGAGCCTTTGCTTCCTGAGCATAAGTCAAACTTCCTCCAAGTGCACACACTAAAAACAAAAAATAAAAATAAAAATAAAAAATTAATAAAAACACTGGAGTCATAAGCTCTCAGGCAAAGTTTTAGCCACCTTGCTCTAACCAGGAAGTTAAACGTATGCTCAGGCAGCAAAGCCTCAGGGGAAATTTCATAAATTGATAAAGAAAATAGTATTTTGGGTCTTATAAAGTTTGCAAATCTACATGTGTGCTTAAATCTCATCTAAACATATCCTGTTTTATCATGTTTAATCTTAATATAATTTAAAGATAAAGTCAGAACCATAAGTGAAAACTATCTGCACTACAGCCCCTTATGTGTGGATGAATAGACTTAATGGGCCTCATGCAAGAACATG